TTTGTAAGTATCCATTTCTTGAGTAGCAAAGTTTGCATAGTGCAGGATTTCCTCTCCCTAAGGCAAGGGTAGGCAACCTTGGCTCTTTTATGACTCGTGGACTTCAACTCCCAGACTTCCTGAGCCAGCATGAAGTCCACGAGTCATAAAAGAGCCAAGGTTGCCTATCCCTGCCCTAAGGGTACCTGGCGATCCCTTAGGTGGATAGGGTAGGCATGCTCCAGGTCCTTTCTTTTAACATTATCTTTTGTGAATTTGGAGACATGAAATTTTCTCTGTGGCTGCCCCAGCTTTTTGTGACAGCTTCCTACCCATTTGTCTGGATATGATGCACCTTTTTACAGGAGATATAATTGTTTTATTTGCTATTTTACTGACTTCGTTGTAAAATTTCCCCTAGGATTATTGCATATAAGATAGGTGGCATGTGCTTAATTAATTAATATTAACGGTGGTATATCAGTTGGGATATCCAGAATAACAAGGCTCAGCATGATATGCCACCACATGGTAAAAGGGTCACAGTCTTTGTCCTATTGATAATAACTTTAATAGATTTATGTTGGATCGAATATCCATGACAGCATATGCTTTCTAGCCCCCTTTCTACTGAATTGTTGCATTGAAATTATTTTTTTTTTAAAAAAATCGGTGTTATTTAAATTGAGAGTTTGAACATTTTATTAACAAGAGTCCTATACAATGACATTTTTATATTATATTTCCATTCCTTAGAGCGGTTTGGAGTAGGCTGAAGCTCAATTTCCTAGTCATTCAACGTTCCACCTGTCCATAATTGTCAAGATTATTAAATAAACCACAATGACTAACCTATGCCAAAACCACACAAGCCATTTCATGTGTTAGGATGATGTGAATAAAACCAGAACATTTATTTAGGTGACTTAAAAGGTGCTGTGATATTGTTATGGTTACTCATACAAAGTTACTTTACATTGAATAGGACCTATGGTATATTTAAATTACTCAAATGTACACCATGCAAGAGATTGTGATAGTTGTAGTGATGGACAGCACCAGAAAGAGACACAAATCAGAAAAATGCCTCTTTTCTGCCATTTGTTCTTTAGAAATTGAGCTGAGTTTAATTGTAAATAATAAAATATGGAATCCTTAATACTCTCTGAGCTTGGTAGTTTTCTTGCAGACATTTCATTACCGAACTAGGTAACATCATCAGAATAAAATATATCAATTGCTTTGAATCCTTTGTCTACTTTTCTTAATAATAACTCCTTTGTGTAGCTAACTGTTGTAGAAATTATATAGTTACAGATAGTCTTCAACTTACGGGCACAATTGAGCCCAACATTTCTGTTGCTAAGCCAGACAGTTGCTAAGTGAGTTTTACACCATTTCATGACCTTTCTTGCCACAGTTGTGAAGTGAATCACTGCAGTTGCTAAGTTAGTAACATGGTTGCTCAGGGCATCTGGCTTCCCCATTGACTTTGCTTGTCAGAAGGTGATCACGTGACCCAGGGATACGGCAACCGTCATTTGCAGTTGCCAAGCAGTTGCCAAGCATTTGAATTTTGATCACACAACCATGGGGATGCTGCAACAGTCTTAAGCAGGGGTAGGCAACCTTGGCTCTTTTATGACTCGTGGACTTCAACTCCCAGAATTCCTGAGCCCACTAAGCTGGCTCAGGAATTCTGGGAATTGAAGTCCACGAGTCATAAAAGAGCCAAGGTTGACTACCTCTGGTCTTAAGTGTGAAAAATAGTCATAAGTCACTTTTTTTCAATGCCATTGTAACTTCAAATGGTAACTAAATGACTGGTTGTAAATTGAGGACCAGCTGTACAGTGTGATATCATGGCTTGGTTATATCATTTCATCATTTGTTTATTGTCCATCTATGGACATTTTGATATCATTCTGGCTTGTAAAAAAATGTCAATGAAATAAAATCTTGTTTCCTCCAACTCCTATTCTCTGACTAGAATCACAGTTCACTATGCTCCAATTCTACTTTCAAAATCATAAGGCCCAGGGAGGGATTTTCATACTATCTCAGGCAATTGACCGTCCAGCTTTTGCTGGACAATCTCCAGTAATGGAGCATTGAGGTACATAGGGAGGAGGGTTAGGAATGAGTACACTAACTTCAGTTAGGTTCCTAGAATTGAGATCCAGAATTATATTTTTGCGAGACCCTCCTGAGATTGAGGAGGCTTTTTCATACATGTTTATGGTGAGGTAATAGAAAACTGCAGAGGGTTTCGGTTGTGTACCTGTCTCCTTTCCTGGCTAAAGAGTTTACATAAATGATTGCCTGCCAAGGCTCCAGTAAAGTTAGATCAATTTTATAATGTTACAAATTTTGCTAAGGGGTTACCTTATTTGATCAAATTTGTTTATTAGTTACTAGCTGTACCCAGCCATGCGTTGCTGTGGCTCAGACAGGTTAAATGTTTTTACCTGTCACAGGTGTGACATCTATATAATAGTCGGTATATAAAAACACGCGCGTATTCGAATGCAACGTTGTGTCAAAATTTCAAAGCAATCGGTGAAGAACTTTCGGAGATTTAAGATTTTGAACAAACGAACATTTACATTTTTATTTATATATATATAATATAATATAGGTATAGATTAACCAAGTCCAAGTATATTGATGGCATGACTATTTGAGTAAGTTGTTCAAATAGTTCCAAACAATTACTGCAAAGTATCACAAAAGTATATAGTTCATTATCATGGTTAGAAGGCAGTAGATTATGACTTCTGAGAATTGGGAATTTCCCCATCTCACTTGCATTAATTATCTTCTGATGAAATGAAACTCTATGAAGCATATAAACCATTTATATTTTTAAAAAATTGTATATGTTGGAAGTTACTCAATTTTCAAAAAAAAAAAAAAAGTCAGAAGAAGCTTTTTTATATTTTCCCCCCAATGTGAACATAATTTGGATCAAAAGATAGATGCCTGTAATAGAATCATTATGACATAGGTCCAGGAAAGTGGTAATTCAAGTTTTTGTGTAGTATTTCAAAATGGAATTGACTAAAGATGTACAAAGATAAAACAAGTATGTTTAAATATTCCATAAAATGCTACTTTTTAAAAACCCTTTAAGTTTTTAAAGTCTTTAATCAATCTTGGGCTGCTATTGTTAGGTTGTGGCACAACATTGTGATGTGTGTTTTCTCACTTGCCTCTTTTTCTGCCCATTTTTTACATGTCCATGGCTCTTAGTTTAACTTTTCCATATTCACTATGCAGTTATATTGCCTTTCTTAATACAAGCAGATTGCCTTAATATTAACACCTTGAATGGAACTATCTAAAATAGCAGCCCAAAAGGAATAGAAGCCAAAGAGGAGATATATCCAGCTGCAAAAATTTGGATAACCTATAAATGGGGAATGTATTTGTCTTCTTCTGCTCTGTCCTGTTTGAAACGTCCTCCCTTCATGAGAAAGGAATGTGACCTGAACACATCTGCCTTTTCTCCAGACAACGGAGCCTGGAACCATTGGGAAACGAAACCAAGAGAGACCTTGAGATGGGCACTAAATCACCAGGTTCTCAAAACAACCTGGCATCTATGGATTGGCTGGATTTCAACCGGAATGGTTGGACACTGGGGGGAGGAGTTCTAAACGGGCATTGTGATGTAACCTTTTGCGCGTGAATTCTTCAACTTTGCTTTGCTCTCCTGCTATCATTAACTCTCAATAAAAGTTCCTTTTGAAACAATGCCTGTTTCAAGAGTTCTGCTTTCTTGGGAGATCTAATTGAGGCAGGTCCTTACAGTTTATTGTTTCTCTTTGCTGCCAACAAGTATTTATCTGGATTTTAGCCATCCAGATATGGTAAATCTAAATATAAAGACAAAAAATATGTCCAAAAGTAGTTACAAATCATTAGTTTAATATATATTAATATAAAGGTAGTCCTTGTTTAGCGACCAAAATTGGAACTAACAACTTGGTTGCTAAGTGAAAAATCACAGGACTACAAGTGTGCTTACAATTTTACCTCAGCTTTTCTTTTAAAAGAATACAATCCCAAATTGTTGGGTAAGCCTAAATGGCAGGAAAGTTTCCCGAGCTCCACTCCCCACCCTTTAGAACACGGGTGTCAAACTCGCCACATCACTCGCGACTCTTTTTGCATTGCTGGCAATGGGGTGGGCACGGCTTCGGTATGATGAAACCGGCCCATGGGCTGGCAGTTTGACACCCTTGCTTTAGGATCCTTTTCCCAATGCTGGGATAATTAGCAAGGTAATTGATATTTGTATTTACATTCAGAGGAGAGGGAGGGGTTACAACAGAGTAAGAAGACACACATTGGAGAATACACATTGAAAGGAATGCACTAGCACCAGCTCTTCACCCTAGTGCACTTGACTTAGAAGGTGAACAAAAATCTTTAGTGTGAAACTGTTTAGGGGCTGGTCAATTTCAAGCAGCAGCTACAAGTGGCTGAAGAGTTCTAATCAACTAATTATGATCACATTGCTAAGCTTGCTAACTTGTTGTGAGGACTTTTTAGGGAAACACTGTGCTCCTAAGAAAAGTAACTCAGGAAAAAAAATAGCTTTATTAGCCAATCTCTGTGTGGGGTTGGGTGAAAAACAATGGTCAATCACAACTGACTGTAATGGCAAATATATGACAGAGAGAGATGTGAAGATCATAAATATGGCCATTGGTTGCAAATGTTTTCAACATCATTTAACTACAAACAGTTGCTGTACAAGGCAGTTGCTAAATAAGGACTACCTATACTGCTGTTTCTAAATTTATGCTGTTCTGAAATGTTGATTTATAATATCTATTCTCTTGGTTGGGATATGGTGGAAGTCATTGTACAACATACCTGAAGAGTACCAATTGTAATGATACAAATGTATAGTTTAAACACAATCAGAAATAAAAGTTGGGTATCCTTGAAAGATGTATTAAACTAAAAGCAATTTAACTAAGGTATTATTACTGTTCTGTTCTGTCCTTCAGTTGTACTTACAAGTCAGGCCTTCCTGTAGCAGTGAGCAACATTATGAATATTCTGGCCGATGCTGCACCAAATGTGAACCAGGTAATATGCTAACAACATTCTTCTCACTTATAAGTCAAAAATGATTTTTAAGTAAGAGAATAATCTCTTACTTTTTATGTTTCTCAAGAGCAGAACTGTGCAAACATTTTGAGGCTAAAACCCACACTTGGGTTTTAAATGCCAAGCTATGGAGCCAAAATTCAAAGAATGAGTTACAGGTAGTCCTAGATTAACGAGCTGTTGTATAACAACCGTTTAAAATTACCACAGACTTCAAAAACAACTAATTATGACTTGTCCTTGAAGTTATAACTCCTGTACACAAACAAACATACACACTTAACGTGGTCGCATTTCAGACACCTGGCAACTGTCTTGCATTTATAACTAATTGCAGGGTCTTGCAATCACATCCCAATTTATGACTCTTTTTTTTTGCTGTTTCCCAATAAAAACACCCATTGGATATGCTAGATTTGCTTAATGACTACATGGATCACCAAATAACCATGTGATTTGCTTAATGACTCCAAGAACAGTTGTAAATTTGTGTCAGGTCATTGATGACCATAGTTACTTAGGACCAAAATTACAGACTCAATTGTGGTCATACGTCAAGGATTACCTGTATACATTTAAAATTAATTAAATGTAGTTAGTAGGATTATTATAGGAGTATGTAATCCTTTACATTCCAATATAGTAAAGTGAAACCTTTTGAGGTAATTTGAGTATGGGGAGAGCTCCACTTGAGGGCTAAATAGAATCCTGAGCACACAAATTTTGCACCTACATCCAGACAATTTTTCCTCATAAAATCAGGAACCTGTATAGTAACTAGCTCAGTATTATCTTATTATATGCAGGTTGAATCACAGGGTGATTTGAAAAGGGAAATGATAGAATGTTTACCTATTTAGGTAACTAGCAGAGATTTGTATTCCTGGTTAAAAAATTAATTTTAAAGACAGCTTTTATTACTTGAAGGAAGATGTAGAGGCTACTCAGAATTGTGTTTGCCAATTATATCCTCAAACTATGTATTCTGCAGTGGTTGATTTAGCAATGCCGGGTATCCCACACTGATATTTAGGAATATAGGTTCTGCACAGCAGTTGGGAAAACCTTGAATCTCAAAGAAGAAATTCTGTTCAGAAAGAAGTATTCTGAACTCAACTCAGTTTGGACAATTTCCTCCTAGGTGGTCATATTCAGAGCAGACAGTGCTTCTGAATCACATAAGTTATTTAAAGAGAATGAATCATAGCTTCAGCATTTAAAACCAATCAGAAGAGGCCTCCAAGAAGAACCTGGAAGACTTGTGGTGCTTCCAGGCAGCTTCTGTTATAATGTGAAAAGCCATAGTGTGCTTATTTCTTCCTTTTCTCTGAATTTTTGAAATACAAATAATGGGAAAATGTGGGAATATTACAAATGGAAAACAATAACTGAACAATCTATAAGTTATCGCACGTAAGGCAGAGCAATTGTACATTAAAAACATCTTGAAATCCCATGTTCTACATAGGCAGTGATTGTTTAGTACCCCATATCCAAGCTAACTACATGCTTCACTATAGATTTTCCAATTCTGTTGTTAAATCAATTTTATTAAGCAAGTGTTTGATTCTGATAATGTTTATAAGCATCTAAAGTGATGGCAATATGTGTTTTGGTTGTTCAGCCCACTTATTCAGTCACAATTGGCCATATTTTGCCATGTGCTGACTCCACTAAGGCGATCCATGTAGGCCTGAGAAAGCCAATATTGCTAATTCTGAAGTTGTGGACATTTAATCAGTCTTTTCTGTTATTCTTCTCAGGAAAGTACGTGGCCAAAAAGTGCACTGCCTCTTCAGAGACTGTATGCAGACCCTGTGGCTCAAATGAGTATATGGACATCTGGAATGAAGAGGAAAAGTGTTTTCTTCATAAAATATGTGATAGGGGTAAGGGAAACTCATGGGTTGTTACATTGCTTCTCATTTGTCAGGGATATGACTTTTAGGAGAGCACATGAAGACTTGTATTTTGAGTTGGTGGAGGTGACAGAAGAGGAATAGTTGGAAAAGAGGATGGGGGTTCCAAAATCTCTTTTGAGCTTTAATCAAAATCCCTTACGGATGTTAGAATGTCAGGACAACTCTCACAAAATGACTGCTTAGATGACAAGTATCTTGCCATAAGTGTGGCCTGTCCCAAAACATTAATATCCCAGAAGGCAAATTGATGAGGTCTAAGATAAATAACATAATCAAGGTACTGTGTGGAAAAGATGGGGTTCGAGTATCAAAGTTTAGATCATATCTTTGGACCCAGGTTCCAGTCCTGAGTTTGGGTCAGTTGCATTCTGGGAAGTTGAAAACATCTATCAGTCTGTAGTGGACCAGCATGGTAAATTACAATACGTAATCTTCAGGGAAGAGCACTTCATGCTGAAATGGATTGATTTGGGCTGATAATGAAATGTACAAACACACAGACACAAGCATGTCACAAGCATAGACACATATATCTCACCAAAATAAAACATACAGCAAAACAGAAAGAAACAATACACTTGGCTCTCTGCCATTCCCCTTAGTTCTGCAGAATTTTCTTCATCAATCCTTAATTCAGGGACATTTATCAGCTTCAAAATACAGGACTATAATTATATATATATATATATTTAATTAGTTAAGGATGCCTTTCTTAGGCAAGCAAAAGGTGGATACTACTGGAATTCATATAGACACCCTATTTGAAATCCTACAAGAAAAGGGACATCTCTGTTTAAATCATCCCTTTAGCCTCCATAGTAAATTTCTTGTATGAACCGTATAACCTTCTACAACATTGAGCAACATCATGCTCAACTGTAACATTCAATCCTAGACCATTTTTTTCTGCAATAAACCATGAGCACTCAGTTTTTCCATAAGGCTCTCTTCAATTCTCACCACTTACCACATATTTGTTTCCCTGTGATTTCATTTACAATACCATTGATTGACAATTTGAATTTTTATTATTGCTTAATACTTGACATAGCAGCTAACACTTGTTCTGTGGGTATCACTTTGAATTGCAACAGGCAGCATTCAGAATCAGTCATGAATCAGGAATCTGTACATTATGCAAGCAGCAACATTGCCTCACTTAGAAAGAAGGCTTGGTGCAGTGTCCTTTATGATATAAATGTTATGTCGAGGAGGCTCAGAATACATGATTTAAACCTTAATTTTGACCCGCTTTCCCTTTTTTTTTAATTTAAAGGAAAAGCTTTAATAGAAGTGATTCCAGGAAACAGCACATTCCAAAGACAATGTGCTTGTATTGCTGGCTATCATTGGAACAGAGACTGTGATTGCTGTCGGCGAAACACAAAATGCTCTCCCGGTTCTGGAGTGAAATTTCCCAGTAAGATTTAAATTAACATCTCTGAAAGTTTTATTTTATTACTCAACCCTGCTGAATGTACTACTGATGAGCTGGATTGTGAGCGGCAATGTCTTGATAATGAAACTTCTTGGAGAAATGTAGTTTTCTTCCACATTGCTTAATATTATGCCACTGAAATTGGGGTAAATTTCCATCCTGGGTGATATGCCTCAATTAATCTTATAATGTTATATCTTATTTTTTTTATTTTTTCGTCTGATTGTTAGCTAACCGTTTTATCATGGGAGGAATAGTGTGTAGAAATAATACTTTAAACATCATATTGGTTATTTAGAACATTCTTGGTGTTATAATTGCATGAAAGTGTAGGTGTATATCTGTATGTATATGAACCTGCTTAGATGCAAAAATAATAATCAGTATGGTTGCTTCCAGTGCCTTGAAGGATTTAAAGACCAGTGTTCCTTTTTTATCTAAGAAATAGTCAAAAGGCTGAAGTGTTCTAAACAGTAACACTTTACTATGTACAGAAATATATCTTAAGTATTTGGTTACCAGCAAATTGTTTTCAAGTGATGCTTTTCAGAGAAGTGATGCTCTGCTCAGTGTGTTTATTTGTTATATTTTCACAGTACAGCAAGATAAGAATACAGTGTGCATACCATGTCCCACTGGTTATTTCTCTAATGTCTCCTCTGCAACTGATGCATGCAAAGCCTGGACAAAGTAAGTTTCATTAACAATGCACTAACAAAGATGCAAAGAAAATCTTTGGATGTCTGTGCTGTACTGTATTTAGAAACACTGATGTTGGTTTTAGAAATGGAGCAATTTGTCATTGCCAGTTATTAGTCTCTGAAAATTAGAATCTAGAAATCCTTATTTGCTTGATCGTGTATACTTAGTGATATTAATAAATGCATATTAAAATTGCTTTAGTTTTGTAATAATGGCTGGGTTTGCTTCTTTCCTGAGTACCAATTCATAAGTATTAGTGGTTTATCTAAAATTGAGACTTGCAGTAGGGCAGTGTTTCTCCACCTCAGCAACTTTAACATATATATATAGACTTCATTGCCCAGAATTCCTTTGTCAGCATGCTGACTAGGGAATTCTGGGAGATAAAGTTCACATTTCTTAAAATTGCTTAGGTTGAGAAACACAACAGTAGGGAAATGAGAAATAGATTGTGAGACAAAAAGGATGTAGGAATATTGTTTACTCTTTGAAATTAAGGAAATTCATTTCTCTTCCATTCCTTTCTTTTCTTCAGTTAAAATGAATTGAATAAGCTGAAACATTAACTGATTTGAGCATTTAATTATGAAAAGACCATTTAAGGCAGGAGTCCCCAACCTGTGGGCTGTGGCCCACTAGTGGGCCGTGAAGGGTTTACAACCAGGCTGCAGAAACACATCCTCACTTGCACGAGCCGACGAGCGCGCATGCACCTTCTATTTAAGTGAGCTGCATGTGCACTTGCTAGCCACTTGCGCTGAACCATCCCCATCCCCTCCCCCCCCCACCAATCCACAAAGCTGTAAACGTTGGGGAACTCTAATTTAAGGTAATATGAATAAGAACTATCCTAAAAAAAATTGAAGTATTTTTTAAAATTGTTTTAACTGAGTAGCGATTAGGGATCATCATAATGCAATTTAGCATTATTGTACACCCATCTGTTATGATATAATGTTACTGTGTGGAATGTCATGATAACCTGGTTCAATAAAGCTTGCTTTAAAAAATCTGGCTAGTGTTAGATCTATATATGCAAATGCAATCATTGGCTTGCTCTAGAAAACTAACAGGCCTCCTTATTGATCATTATTTCTCAGAGTCACATATATACATATGAGACTATCAGGACTAAACAGAGTAGGAATGAATATTTACAAATTTGGTTTTGAACTTCATTAGATATAAGATATTATACATGAAATTGGCTTTCTTTTTCCTCTTTTATCATAATATCAAAGTCAGCCTTCTACAGTCTGCTTCTCTCTAGATCAGATAGCCTGATATACCCTACCATTCCCAAGTGGTGGGGAATTATGGGAGAAGTTGTAGAGAGTCCAGGTGACTCTGGGGAAAATAGGAAAGAATTATCATATAAGCAAAGAGGGTTAAAGCTTTCCTTAAAATCTGGGAAACAAGATAGTATTTGGAAAATATCATGGACGATTCTCCCTAATTCACTGGGATATAAAAGGGGAAGTAAAGTATAATCAGGCTTGCAAGATTCCGTTATTTATAGCCTATTTCAATATAATTCTAGACTTCCTGTGGAATCGATTTCCTGGTCTGGTCCACCTTATTGATTGGCAGGAGATTATCATGTCTAAAGAACCCAAACATTTACTGAAGGAAATATAGTATCTGATATGAATGTCATTGCATTAAGCATTACCTCACTACCTCTTTATGCTATTAGTGTGTTCTCCAAAACATACATTACTTTATTAGCATGTCTTATCCAAAAACAATATAATTTATTACTTTCTTTCCATTTTTATTTAATTTAGTTGCACAGCTTTGGGAACTGAAGAAAAGATCCCTGGGAATGATTGGTCTGATGCAGTTTGTAAGACACAAGAGAGAACACATTCAGAAGATGGTAAATACGAAAGCACCACTGAACAGTAATATTATTTAAGATTTTCCGGGATTTCTATAATTAAAGTTACGCTTTATTTTGGTTTCATCCCACGATATGGTGAACCTACTCAATAACTTCAGTAATGCTATGAGTGATATTAGCAGGAGCAGGAGCTCCTGGTAGGGTTTCATTGCTGATAGGAGACCATTGGAGTTGGGTAGCTAATCAATCCAAATAAATAAAATTCCAAAAGGTAAGAGTGGTGCTGATAGAAATCCATAACAGAACTAAGGACAGGCAGGGGTCTAGAGCAGGGGTCCTCAACCTTGGCAAGTTTAAGACTTGTGGACTTCTGGGAATTGAAGTCCACAAGTCTTAAACTTGCCAAGGTTGAGGACCCCTGGTCTAGAGGCATAAGGAAAGCCACCTTGCCTATTAAATGGAAACTCCACAATCAAACTCCCAAAAAGAAATGGCAAATTGCTTTGGTATTTTGACAAGAAATGTATATGAACATGGCTGAAATATGAAGTGCCAGATGATGAGAATGTGAAGCAGGAAGGCACTCTTCCAATTATTGGAAAAACATCTTGAATTCTTATGAGTAAAATTGAATGTGATGACATCACTAGACCAAAGAAAATCTAATCACTGAGGGTGTCAGTATTTGAAACCAGTTTCTTGTTTTACAAGGACATGTGCAATTGGAACATGAAACATATAAACCAAGAACAATTTGAAATTGTAAATGCATAAATGAAGTACACTAAACTGAATAGATTTTGGTTGACCTGAATGGGCCACTTTAGATTAATAGTAAATGATTATATCAGAATTGCCTTAGGGCAGGAGACAAAATAAAGAGACATGCAGGCCAGTCAGGCATATATAAAGTGATGGAGATCCTATTCAACAAAGGGATTTGGGCTGTTGAGCTGAGGTGATTGCATTGCCAAGGCAGACAGGCCATCCAATTTGTCTCAGTAAAGAAATACTGGTCTGAAGCCAGTATTGTGGGAGAAGGTTGAAATGCTTCCAGATTAGAGGGTTTGGGGATTGCCTGCAATATACGCCCCATCCTGAACAATCTTCAGGATATGCCAAGGGTGCTCTGGGCTGGACAGTTTTGATTCTGCAGGATTGAGTAACATAGCATGATGGAATTTTCCAGCCAGGAAGACTTTCTGAGTACATAGGATTGCCTGTAGTGTGCTTCAGAGTTGACCAGCAATCTTTGATAGCTACAGGATTACCTGCACACATGCTGGAAATACCCAGCCTGGAAAAGTAAGCAAACATAACTCAGATAGTCAGGGTATGGGATGTCCACAAACTATATAGAAAAATAATGACTTCATTTGGCAAAGTTGAGAGAAGTTGAAGAAGAGGAATAAAATGGATAAACTAGATGGAGAGGAACAGATAAAGATGTAGAAAAAGGAATGGCAGATCCTGGGCGTGGGATTAAAAGCCTAGAATCTCTACATAGCCGCAAGCAGACTAAGTCCACCCCCCTTTGAATTTCTTATCTAACTCCAAGCAAGTGTTAACCATTACTTGAGAAGATTCCTATGTGTAGGCTGTTTAACATTAAATCTGTTTAATTGGACTTTCATGTGTGGACCTGATCTTTCATGCTTGACAAAGGCTGATCACAGGAAAGTCATTGGAACCACCACAGATTATTGTTGTGGGCAGGTTGAGATAGTGGATATTTGTCCATAGATATTTGTTTGCAAAGATTTAAAGATGCAAACTAAAGAAATCCTGTTATCAGAAATGGATTTTTTTTCTGTCAGTTTTTGGCAACATAATCGAAGGGTGCTCTCTGAGTTAATAAAATGGCGCTGGGTTTATGGGTTGCCCACTTCTAGTTTAACCAGAATACAAGAGGCCTAAAAAGGGAAAAACTTAACCAAGTTAAATTGGACAGACATAAGCCACATCTGTATTAGCTAACACACTGGTTCTCAGAATTCATATCTTAAATGCTATTTAGCAATGTTCAGAAAATCTGTGTCCTGCCGTGATATAAAGAAAAACTTCAGGGTTTTTTTTTAAAAAGACATTTGTATGTTATTAGGCATTCTGTTCTTGTGTTTACCATTTGTAAGTTTTAAAGATCCAGTTACAGGTAGTCTTCAGTTAACAACTACTTGTTCGGTGACTGTTTAAAGTTTACAACAGTGCTGAGTGGTATTTACAACCAGTCCTCATAATTGGGGCTGTTATTGCTACCTGCAGCCATATGATTGAGATCCAGGCTCTTGGTGACTGGCTCACAACTCCTAGCTTCCACCAAGCTAGGAGTTGTGAGGGGAAGCTGGCAGATTATAAAAGATGGCAGATTATAAAAGATGACCACATGATGAAGGCATGGAATTCGGTTAACAACAGTAGGAAGTGCTGGAATTGTTGCCACTAAGCGGTGTGGTCACATAACATTGTGCTTTCTGGCTATGTTGCTTAGCGATGGAAATTCTAGTCCTAACTGCCATCATTAAACACGGACTACCAGGAAAGGCTCAGTATCTTCTATCTACACTACTTCACAGAACCCGCTAGGTTGAAAACCATTATAATATATGTGCACATGGGTAGAGGCTATCCTTGTCTTGCTGCCCCTCATGCTCTAAGACAGTGGTTCTCAACCTTTTTAATGCCGCGACCCCCAACCGGTCGTAAGTCGAGGACTAAACCGGTTGTAAGTCGAGGACTAAACCGGTCGTAAGTCGAGGACTAAGCCGGCTGTAAGTCGAGGACTACCCAACCAGTCGTAAGTCGAGGACTTTCCCTGCCCGGGAGCACCGCACATGCGTGGTTCTGCCCCCTGCGCCGGCCGAGGCGTAGCTGGCAAGCAGCAGAGACAGAGCAGGCCGACCACCAGCTGGCCCAGCTCAAGGGAGGTAAGGCACCCGCCGGAAAAGGGGAAAAAAATGGCGGACAGCCTTGCTTGGCGACCCCCGTGAAATGGTCGATCGACCCCAAATGGGGTTGCGACCCATAGGCTGAGAACCGCTGCTCTAAGATATGTTGGATTCTTGACAAATAATCATCAACAACTTGAACTATTTCAGTGACGATAGCTCAGCTGTTTGGGACAAGATCCTAGCATTGACTTACTCCACAATGAGATGGGCCATGCACAATACCTTCAAAATATCTTAACGTTGTATCTGTTTTTCCCAGCATGAAAATTCAGGGCTAAAAATTAATCTTAGATGTGGGTAGGGTGCATGTGTTATCTTGCAGGACACAAATAGTGCAAGCATAGATTGAAAATTGCACGTACTGTAAACCATAACTAACTCCTAGTTTGTCCTATGATGTTTCTATTTTCAGTAATGAAAGACAGTGAAATTTAACAGTCCACTACTACAACGTTTCCCTACACTATTTGATTAAAAAGCATTTTAAAAAAAGCAGATCCAAAATGATATTTCCTGAGTCTAAGCTTTTATAATTCATTGTCAGTTTTTCATTTTCCAGAAAACAAGAAATTGTTTTATGTGTTGATTGTTCCATTCCTCCTCATCGCCTTGGCTGGTATAATTATCTTTACTGTATATTATCGAAGTAAGGGAAAACTATTGACAGGTACGTAATACCTAACGACTTCCTATATTATTATAAATCTATATTTATCTGATATTTTTATTTATATCTCTTAATTCGATTATTATAAAAGCCGGATTATATTTTTACATTTCTCTTTTTATATATCGTTTAAGTTCTAACTGTCAGAAGCCTGTTGCGGTTTTCACAAATGTCCCCATGTGCTCTCAGGGTATGCGGGAGCTTGCAATGTTTTCTGGGCTAAAAGTCACAATTGGCTTTTGGATGGTCTCTTGGCAGCTGCAACTGGAAAAATGAGACCAGAGCAAAGACGTTGCTGCAGCCAGGACAAAATCCAAGTTTGACATATTTAAGTTAGAATTTAAAGTAAATAGAGCTTGATTGTGATTACCGCCCATGTGTTTAATAATTTCTGTGTTGCATGAAAAATTGGAGGGAGGACACATAAGGCTGCCAATTGTTGTCCCTCTTACAACTTGAGAAGTAACTCTTTCAAGCTATTTCCTGAGCCAAAATTAAATGAAAAGTGTTATACCCCCACATAGGTGCTTTTGTAGTTCTATGTTCCATAGAACTAATGGAATTAATGGAAGTGTACAATTATGAAAGCATTGCTCAGTTCTTTGACCGTCACATTTATATCATCTTGTGTCTCAGACTCTAGAACAGGGGTGTCAAACTGCCGGCCCGCGGGCCAGTTTCATCATACCAGAGCCGCGCCCACCCCATTGCCGGCAATGGCGAAAAAGCTCTGATACGTCACGCGACGTCGCGAGTTTGACATGCCTGCTCTAGAAGGGTAGCTGACAGACAAACATGCACATCTGTTTCAAAGGAAGATTTAATTGTATGTCATTGCAATTTGCTTTCTCCACTGAAATAATAGGACTCCTTATAAGAAATTGCTGAAACAGGGCTATTTGTCTCACGATCAATAGATTTTTCTGAAGCTGAAAATAGGATTTTGAGGCTGGTTTGATGCACCTAAATATAGTTGGACAAAATGACTTTACATCTGAACTGGGTACTGACTTAAGGCTATGGGTCAAGCTCAAATAATTCAACTTCAAAATTGAATGTCAGTCAAGGTTAAGTGACTTCTGCTCACTGGGAAGAATCCTCTAAATGAATGGGAGGACACTAGTAGCAAATTTCCTAGAGCAAATCAAGGCATAGTAGTTTCTGGATTTGATAACTTTGTATGTATCATCTAGAATTTTAGGTCAAGAGAAAGATATTTTTTTTTAGACAGTGAACGTATTAACTTTTTTAGTTTAATAATTAAATCTGCATATGACATTCTTTCAGCAACCTGCATAAACAAATGCATTCTTCCACATAAAAATCAAGCTGTTTGTTGATCCAGTAATGTATTTTAATTTTTTTACTAAATCCGTAGAATACGTTTCCCAGTAAACTCATGAAACCCATTTCCTCAGCTGAGCTGATGACAGCATTTCTATTGGGGTTTTTTTTCAACTCTTCCTAATACTATATATATACAATTGTTCTTTTGGTAATTCATGTGATATTCCTTGCAACAGACTAGCCAACCAATCACTCACATACAGCTAGGTTATTAGCAAGTCAGTCATAAATTGATGGCACATGACATGGAACAAAGACCCAAGTGATATGGAATGTTCTGTTTTAGTCATGGACAGATTGTCGAGATAGACACATCTTCCATTTGTAACGTAAAGGGGGGGGCACTGGGAATCATTTTGCAACTCACATTTCACCACAAACCCTTCAAAAAAACAAACTTTTTTAGTAAAGTAGATTTAAAAACAAATTGACACCGCAATATTTAAGAATGAGTGCATATGCGTGCCATCTTTTTCACTTATTCTTAAGTCAGGGAACACAATTACAGCAAGTATACAAGTCTATTGAAATGAATGCTTTAAGTGTGCTTCACTCTGATGAAATTTAACGTTATGTGTATTATAACATGTCTCAATCTGATACTATGAATAAATAGTTCAATCCTATTTTAAGTATTGAATGTTTATAAGTGTTTTTGTAAAGATTTTTTTTCTACAGCTAGCCATAATATGTATGATTGCATTTGTGATTCACTAATATTCTGCTAAAATGCCAGAATCTAACTGAATACTGTTTCTATATTTCCTTCCAGCAGATTTACAATACTGGGCTCAGGAAATATGCCACCAAATAAAAAGGAAAAAGGTGAATTCTAAGGCTTTATGGATTTTCATACTGTTTCATGTTTTTTTCCTGGTTGCTCTCTTCTGATATCCTTCTTTGTTGGAGAACTCTTTAAGTGGTGAAATAAAGTTGTAATTTGTAAAACTGCTTGGTGGACATAAGGTCAAGAGGAAAAGATGAAAGTATAACAAACAAAGAACCACAAAGACTCCCTTGGCTTTAAATCATAGGAATTTTTTTTTAAAAATGTTGCAATTTGTCTGCAATTTGCTGGGTTTACTTAACAGATTATCACTATTACTATCAGAAGCAGTATATTTACTTAGCATTTCTCAGGACTTTTCCTGTGCAGAAAATTGGGCATTTTTAGAGCTCTATACAATCCAAGCTGCATAACAATTATTTTCCTTTTCATTAAGACATAGTATTTATTTATGTGTAGTACTCCTTTTGATTCTAGTTATTGCTTTATTTATTGTTAATATACTGGTTTGTATACATTTTCAGAGCGCTTAAGTAGACCCCTATAGCTATAGAAAACAGATAATAGATAGCAGAATGCTTTAACTCTTAAAAATCCTAAGAATTACTGAAAAACTTAATAATTCAGTATATAGCTAACATTGATAGTCTCTGAATCTCTGTATATCATGACAGCTCATCAACTCTTCACATGCTCTGTAATTTTGCTGTATTAATTTTGTAAGGTAAATGCATATCACTGAAAATTACTCATTTAGATTTTTAAATCTAGAGAAGGATGGTTAAGGAGATGTCTAAAAATAAATCCTATCTCATCAATTTCAAAATACTGGGACACAGAATTATCAAGCACAATTAATTGGCCAACAAATTCAGAACAATTAAAAATAAGGAGTTAATTTAGATTTGGATGAAGTACAGTGGTATCTCGGTGTTCGTCAGTAATTTGTTCCAGAAGATGCGACGAATACTAAAGCTGATGGGTACCGAGAAAACCACATGACTTACCATTTAACCCGCTATTTCAGCTGGAAGAAATAGTGAGTCATAGGCAGCCAACATCAGCAAGTTCTTCCTTGCATGTTGACTACTGGGAGAAAGAGGAGTGCCGGAACAAGATTTCTGCTTCAAAACACATTGAATACCAAATTCAACGAGTTTTGAAGCAGACAAGATATGACCGTTATCTGGTTTCTGACCATAGAGGGGTCCTCTGGGATTTCCACGTTTCCTACCTTCTAACTTTATTTTAATTCTTTAATAATCAATTTAAAAACCAAAAATGGTATGTTGCAGAGCCCAGCACCATTTCAATTTAAAACTGCTTCTGGATCCCCAAAACCTACTGAAATACTTAAAAAAATTGAAAAAGTATTTGCTTTGCTTTGGAATGTGATTGCCTGACCAGAAAGAGACAATTTTTTTTTTCCTGAAGTGTTTTCTTTTCTTGCAGGATTCTTCTTGTGATACATTTGTAAACACAAATGTAGTACATCCTGCTGGCCTTCAGCTTTTGGGAGGGACTTATTTGCTGGATCTTGACAAATATTGCTTTCCAGATGAGATACATTACCCATGTGAGCACCTGCTGAGTGAAAAAGATGGTCCTGATAAAATACTTTACGGATCAAGAGAAAATTTCCCAACATTGTTTCTAACTACCATTTCTGAAGACGGCCACTTTAGACAGACTCCTATGGAGGATGAATACACAGACAAAGTATCCCATGGGCAATGTTACTTACCTTTAGTGAGCCAATCTGATAGCAAACCTGAATCACCCTTCTCTGAACCGCTAGAGGTGGGAGAGAATGAGAGCTTGAATTACTTCTTCACAGGAACAGAAAATCTGGAGGAATTAGTAAACTGCTGTTGCTTGGATCCATCATGTGCAATGGACCCTATTCATGCTTCCTCACACAAAAACCTGCAGAGTTCTTGTAATCATTTCACTTGTGCCAAGATGAGAGGTGTTGATAATGAAGATACAAGTACTTCCCTACTGGTGTCTGAAGAAAAGCATAGCTTTGCCAGTTCATCTTGCAGACAACCTCCTAACAAACTGGATAATGCCACAGATTCCTTAAAAGAAAATGGATCTTCTCTGCTAGGGACCTGTGGTTTGGAATCTTCTTCTGTAGACCAAAATGGATCATCAAACAATATTGGAGACAAAAGTGAATCATCTGATGGAAAGGACACAAAGGACCAGAATGCAAAAAGAACATCTGAGTCAAGCTACAATGTTTCAGATCCCCCAGCAGCATCTGGTAAGCCCTCCATATGGAACATACTTTCTTGGTAGTGGGGGGTAGATATTACTAAGCATCTACAGAGCAGATTGCAGCACTCACCTTTTCTTTAAAAAGCTAAGTAAAGACAGATTTTGTTAGTACTTGGATGGGAGACTAAGAGATCACAGCTCTGTAGATTATGTTGGGAAATTAAATCAATAGCAAACAATTTCTGTATTGAAGTCAAGACTACATAGATAGATGTAGCAGTATACAGTATATAATTCTGGAGGTCAGTGCAGAAGATGAGAAAGAAAGGCAAGTCAAATGAAGGCATTGTAGACCTTACTGTAAATCAGACATATCAAACTCGTGACATCACGTGACGTTGCGCAACATATCGGGACGGTTTTGCCATTGCCGGCAATGGGGTGGACGCGGCTTCCGGATGACGCGTCCGGCCCGCAGGCTGGCAGTTTGACACCCCTGCTGTAGATCTATACCAGGGGTGTCAAACTGCTGGCCCATGGGCCAGTTGCATCATGCAGAGGCCATGCCCACCCCAGCTCCGCCAATGCGAAAAAAGTCACAATACATCGTGACATGTAACGTGACGCGCTGAGTTTGACACCCGTGATCTGAACATAGAAATGATATTTGTTCTTTACTCATTTTTGAGAATACAGTATAAAAATGTAAGCTAGAGGCAGAAAAGTGGAAAACCATGTTTAAAGCAATTACTTCATATTTTTTCATAGTAAGGTTGGCTCTGCATGTTAATCTTGCAGTTAATTTTAAAGATCATTTAAACAAGGCAGGAACATTTATTTTTCTCTGGGATTTTGGAAATGAGTTAGACCCAATGTGATTATATTCTGGTGCCAGTGGTTTTTCTCCACCCAGCAAACAAAGTATACTTTTTGGCACTCTTTACCTTGGTCAAGCTAGTTGGCTAGCCAATGTTGTGGTGATGGTTTAAAAGGGGAAAAAAAAACATTCACAGTGAACCTCCAATTACAAATAGAGAGGTACAACTAAAGGAGATGAAAATATTAGTCATACGTTTTTATGGCACCCTTTCTACTATATTGTACATTTTCCAAATATGTTTGGCTATAGTCCTCATCATTTACAGTTAGTTGACAAGCAATTAGCTATAATAGTAGACACTGTAGTTTAATGTGAATATAGAGAAGCTTGTTGTATATAAGCGCTTGAAAAATATTTTCAGGATAATTTGATGAATAATAATTTTTTTGCACCTTGACAGTTATCCTGTTAAACAAAATATGGAATATTCACAATAATAACCACAAAATTCATTAAACTTGGGAAGAATTCATTCCGGACAGCAGATGGTGCTGCAGAGAAAGGCACTCTTCCAGGATCTTGCTTCAGTGTTTCTCAACCTTGACAATTTTAAGGCATGTGGACTTCAACTCCCAGAATTCCACAGCCAGCAATGCTGGCTGTGGAATTCTGGGAGTTGAAGTCCACATGCTTTAAAATTGTCAAGGTTGAGAAACACTGTGCTAGATGATTATTATTTATTTATTTATTTGATTTGTATCCCGCCCTTCTCCTTACCGGACTCAGGGCGGCTGACAGCCTTATAAAACCAATATTACAGTAGATATCAATTTAAAACCAGATTAAAAGGAAATTTTTGTAATGGCCTAATAATTAAAATTTCCCTTAAAAACCCCACTAAAATTCCCTAGGCCAATCCCGCTTGTTGGAAAAGCCATGTCTTTAGGGCGCGGCGGAAGGAGGGGAGATCCGGGATCACCCGGATCTCTGGGGGTAGTTCGTTCCAGAGGGTGGGGGCTCCCACCGAGAAGGCCCTCCCCCTGGGGGTCGCCAG